GATACTATTTACATACATTGTTGCAAATACTATTTTTAAATAAATACACTGAAAAATATACTTCACTGTAATCATTTCAACCTTTCGAGAAACACTGAACTCCTTTTTTTCCTTTGGGAGGTATGCAGTGTAGCAGAGCTGGCTTTCTGGGAAGCACTGTCCCGCAGGTTTCTCTCACGCCGGGCCCTGTAAGCATGAAGGGAAAGGCGTGTGTGCACTGCAGAAGCCTCTCTTGCTGGTCTCCTCTGTAAAACAGCCTGTGGCTTCCCGACATCCCCGGCTGTATTTTGTGCCTTTACCATTTTACCTTCCCCTTCTGTTATCCAACTTCACTCCTTCCTCAGATGATCGCTGAACTCCATGCTTTAATTGGCATTTATGTACTGACGATTTCCAAGTTTCTGCCTCCAGTTTGGCCCTCTTCACTGGCCCTCACACTCAGGGACCGCAGTGCCAACTTGATCGTTTCAACTGCATGCATAAAGTCATTGTCCCAGCTGCTCTCTGTGGAAACTAGTGTCTTCTCGTTATTCCCTACCCCAGGTACACAAGCCAAAACCTAAAACCAACATATCCTACTACAGATACTCTCTATACTCTGTCCAAACATACCTAAACTCTCAGTCTCCCAGTTTTACACAGAAAAGCAGATCATGTCACTGCCCTGCTTGAAATCCCGTGGTGGACTTCCAGTGATCTTGGAATGGCCTCCAAAGCCTTTCTTTACCTCATTCCACAAGGCCCTGCATGGTCTGACTCCTGGTTTTCCTTCCAAAACTCAATCACTCTTCCTCTGGGCTGCCCATAGCTGCCTCTGTTCTGAACCCCATCCCACCTCAGGATCTGGCCAGAGCATCACAAGCCACTAACGGCTACTGTAAAAAGAGCACTCCGAGCTGAGCGTGGTGCCTTGTAAGCCCAGCACTCTGGAGGCTGAGGCAGGAGAATCGCTCCAAGTTTGAGGCCAGCCTGGCCTACACAGTGAGTTCAAGGCCAGCATGAACTAAATAGCAAGACTCTGCCTCAAACAAAAGAAGGTTGAAGTGGCTAATTCTAGGAAGGTGACAGGAGGTAAACACAAACAGCAATCTGGGATATTTTGAAGTCAGCCACAGCAGTGAGTACCTGCTATTCTTTTACAAATGAGGGTTTAGAAGTCCAGTTGGTCAAGCATCTGCCCAGTCACAGCCAGTGAAAGGCAGAGCTGGATTCTAAGTCCAGGCAATCAGACTCCAGAACTGCTAAGTTTAGTCTCTACACTACTATAAATATTAATTTTATGAAAAACAGTAATGAAATTTAGGAACATGAGGCAATTACTCTGTCCAAAAGGGGCTGGGAATTTAGCTCAGTAGTCTAAGCGCCTGCCTGGTAAGCATGAGGTTATGAGTTCCATCCCTGGTATCACCAAAAAAAAAAAAAAAAGAAGAAGTCTACTGTGTCCAAAGTGTTGCACTGATTCTTAGTCATTAGTTGCTTATATCCTTTACTGACCAAAAATGCTAACACACTAAATTTTTATTGCTACTTTGTGGGTATTGATGGACCTAAAGAAGACAAAAAATCCACAGGTAACATCTGAGTATCAAAAGTACTGTAAAAACTGGTGCAGTGAGCTTTTTGAAACAAATATGTAAGGAAAAGCAAATAAATTATTTTTAAACTTTTCAACTTCGTAGGATAGAGTTTAGCAAAACTTGAAATGGTTTATGCTTATGTATATTATTATCTATAGAATAAATTCCTTTACATAAACCACATCTCAAATTTTATTTCTTCATGACTTTATATATTAAGTAATTATGCCAATTTCAATAAAAACCTTTCATTTTAGCTATATGTTCATTTTATATATAAAATGCCTTTGTTAAAATCATGTGACCACTCTGGTATGACACTGTTGACAAATTGTTGATATCAGTAACCTCTATGTATGGGCTGAATTTTGGGGGTCTTTTTTTTTAGACAGGGCCTCATTTTGTGGTATAGGCTGACCTCTGCCTCCCAGATGCTGGACTGAAGCATGGGCTACCACACTCAGCTATATAGGTTGGACTGTGTCCCTCCAAAAAAGCAGCAGTAAGCCAGGTGTGGTGGTAAATGCCTGTTATCCCAGCTCTTGGGAGGCTGAAGCAAGAGGATCTTTGCCACTTTGAGACCAGCCTGAGCTACAAGGCCAGCCTGAACTACATCTTGAGACCCTGTCTCAAAAAGACCAAAAAAAAAAAAAAAAAAAAAAAAGCAGCAATAACCACCCAACTCCCCCTTGTACCTGAAAACTTCATTTTATTTGGATATCAGGTCTTTACGGAGGTAATCAAGTTAAAATGAGGTCTTAGGGCAAACCAAAATTGTCTGACTGGCATCCTTATAAAGAAGGAAGACGTGGTGAAGTGAAGCTAAGTAGAATCCCAGGTGAGGGGGAAGCCCCTAACGAGGAGGAGAGCAGGGCTACGGGGACACCTTGACAGCTCTAGAACTGTAAGAGAACAAACCTCTACTGCTTTAAGGGGCCCAATGTGTGATACACGCAGCCCTAGGAAACAAACACTCCGGTGGCACTCAGGTGGCACGACACTGCCGTGGTTTCCTCCAAGCCACTGTGTTCTTTCAGCTGCGCAGGCTGCCTACTCTGCGTGTCTCTGAAATGCTCTGGAAGAGCTCATGGACTGCGCTGCCATCTCTGACCAGTGACTCCCAAAGCTTTCACCGAGTTCTCTGCTCTATCAGAACCTCTCCTCTAATCAGACAAACCCAAGCACAAGTCCAAAGTTCAACTCATCACTTTCCACCCCAAATCTGTTCCTCAGGGAAGACCTCCCCTAGCCATCTACGTGCCAAACACTGGCCCTAAAAATTATACTTCAATTCTGACTCTCAGCCCCTGAGAACGGGTCAGTTCATCACATGCTAACACATCACCACCACTCACTCTGTCCGCATGGGTGTCACCTCACCACACCGCCCTCACTACTTGTTTACCATGCCATTCTGACTGCAGCTGCGTTGGCCTGCAGAAAAGCAAAGGCCCAGGAACTGAAGCTGGGGAATGCAGAGTGCTAGGGAACAGAAAGGGAGCAAAAACAGCCGAGTGCCTCCACCCGGCTTCAACCATGGAAACAGAAATGATTGCATGTGAACAGAATTCAGTGCAATGAATGAAATACACATGTAACCAACAAGCTGAGACCAAAGGACAATTAATAAAGAAACTGGTAACAGAAAGACACTGGTATACTTAGGCTGTTGGGGCCAGAAGAGGAAGAATACAGAGAAGACCCCAAACCCTATGAGTCCAGAGGGGACAGGGTGGAGAATAAAGTGTTTGACAAACTACCTGCGGGGCTTGGGATTTAGCTCAGCGGCATAAGCACCTGCCTTGCAAGGAGGCGGTTGTGAGTTCGATCTCCGGTACCGATAAAAAGATTAAAAAAAAAAAAAAAAAAAAAGAAAGAAAGAAAGAAAAACAACCTGCAACAGGCAATCCCACAGCCACAGAGACAGAATAAGAGAGAGGAGAGAAACAAGTCTGGGAGCACAGAGCTCAGAAACCACACACCATAAGAAAAGCCAGGTGTGGTGGCATACTTGAGAGGTGGAGGCAGGAGAATCCTTTGCAAGTTTGAGACTAGCATGGGCTACAAAGTGAACTGCGTATTAAGACCCTGTCTCCAAAGGACCAAAACAACAAAATGAAATAAAAAAGCATTTTTGTACAAGTCTGAGTGTTCGAATCAAATTAGAAGCTGGCGATGTAGTTTAGTAGTACAGCACTTACATAGCATGCACAAGGTCCTTGGTCGATTCCCTGGTCCTGCAGGGTGGAAGGGAACATGAGTAAAAACTGGATCAAACCACAGAAGGGGAAACTGAGGGCCAGGTGATCAACAGTGTCAAAGTATAAAAGTCAAGAAGGAAAAAAAGAAAAAAATCACCGATTTTTGTTTTTCAGCTGAATGGCACAGATTTAACTGCAAATGGTTTAAAAAAGAAAAAAAGGCTGGCTTGAAACTCCTCAGCTCAATGGATCCTCAGACCAGAGTTCTGGATGGTTACAAATCCAGGCAACCAACCGCCTTCAGTCCGCCCAGGAGTAATTTTACAGGTTTCCTCTACCCACTGGCTTTTCCGCCTCACGCCTTCGGTCCCTATGTGAGTCTTCCTTTCACAGTCTCTTGTTTAACACTTGTTCCTTTCAGCTTCTGTTGCCAGGAGTATGTTATCGTCCCGCCAGCCAGACATCAGTACCCCCCCCCCGCTACTTCTCCATAACTTCTGATTATGACAAAACAATAACAGCAACGTTCCCCGCCGACGTGGGTCAAATCCAAACTCGGAACACATCGGTGGGTTCCAAAGCTCCCGCCCTCACCCAATGCAAAGCTCGAGCGTCGCGAGCCACACCCCGGGATTCTTCACCTGCTCCTGGGCCCCGCGGGCCACCCGAGCCGGGGTGCAGGCCTCGCGGCCTCCTCACACGGAGAATCAGTTCTCCTCAGGGCGGGCCCGCCGCGGCTCCCGCACACCCGGCCGGAGGCGCCGCCTGCGGGCGGCCAGCGTCTCGGCTTCTTACCACCGCACCGTGCCTCGCTCTAAGGCCGGTGCCGACTACGTGAAAGCAAAAAGGAAACTCCTGACCAACATTTAAAAAGAAAATACACATATCCGAAACAGAAAGAAAATATCGGAACGTTTTATGAGCCTGCAGCCTGCAGCTCAGGCCCGTCCGCCCCAAACGCGCGCCCAGCCTAAGCCCGGCACCCCACAGGGCTGGCGCCGAGGTCGCGAAGTTCCGGCACGGGCCCGCGCCGCCTCCCGACCCAGGTCCCCCGGCCCCTGGACGCGGCTCCCTGGGGCCCGCGACGAAGGCTGAGCCCGGGCGCGGGGCCGCGGTCGGAGCCCTGCGAGGCCGGAACCTTCCGAGCGGGACAGCGGGCTCCCAGAGTCCTGAGCCGGGCGCGGTGGAGCCTCGGGCCAGCCGAGAGACGAGCCTGGCTCACCTGCGTCAGCCTCCGAAGCAGGGGACTGCGCCCGTGGACGACGCCTCGCAGAAGTACCGCCGACACGGCCATGGTGGCAAGGAAAGGCTTCCAAGGGCAGCGACTCTGCCCTCGGCTCCACGCAGCAGCCTGCAGGAGGCGCAGCCCGTCTCCTCCAATCAGCAGGCTCTGATAAACAAGGTCGGCGGCGATTGACTCAGGCGGGGCCCAGAGCGGCAAGCGGACTCCACAGACTGGCCTGGGATACAATTGACGTAACACGACGTGGCTGAAGGCAAGGGCAGGAGGAGCACAGAAGCGCCTGACCCGCAGCTGGCTCTCATTTGCACCACGTGAGCCCACTGGTTTATATGTAATTTGAGCCTTTGTCGCTTTTGTTCCAAGCCTTACAAAGGAAATGCATGAATAGGTTTCAAGCAATCCAATGAGCTTTTAATTCACGCTGAGAAAATCTTGCAGTTAGTTGCCTTCCAGTACATTAAGAAGATAGGAATAGGGGCTGGGGATTTAGCTCAGCGGCATAAGCGCCTACCTTGCAAGCAGGCAGTCGTGAGTTTGATCCTTGGTACCGATAAAAACGAAAAAGACAAAAAAAAAAAAAAAAAAAAAAAAAAAAGGGATAACTGTTAGTAGCAAAACTTTATTGAACAATTAACAAGGATTAGAATAAACCACCAAAATCTTTGAATCAGCTGCTTTTATTACCCACGCTTTAAGAGACGAGTGTTATACTAAAATGCTAAAAAATAGTTAGTTAAAAAGATAATTAGCAAAAGTAGTTAAATGGATCATTAGCAGTATTGTCATTCTGTGCTGTGCTCAGTTATAGATTAACTGACCACGTTGTCATGCTGGTCATGCTGTTCCCTATGCTTCATTCCCTGAGTAACCTGTTTGCTGTGTCAACCTTTGTTCCCTTTGTGAGAGACAAATGTTCCTGGAATTGGCAGACCAAGGGCTATGAATTGGTTAACCCTGCATTGTGAAATGCCTCTGGCTTCAAGCAAAAGGGAACAAAGGCCCACCTTGTTTCTGTTTCTCATTGTTATCTACTTAATGATCAATGAGCTAATCATATATGAACTATAAAAATGGGTCAAAATTCTAACTCAGTGGCACAACTTTGCAAACTCTATCTGCACTGTGTCGCTGGGTACCAGCTTAAATAAAGTGCTCTTTTATAGACGTCTCCCCCCCCCCATTGTGATTAGTATCTTGGGGGCCTTGTGGGGTACAACAAAGTAATTGAGATGCAAAGAAATAAACTATTTTTAGTCCATGATAACATACAAAGTGGTCTAAACTAATACAATTATATTGCATTGCTTTCCTAGATTTTAGGGTGTTAAGTAACACCCTGGGGAGACTTCAGGCAGGTTATAGACATGGATCACCACATTGGGCTCTCATTGTTTTAAGCAACTATGTTTGTGGGTAAAAATGTAGGTAGTTAATTCATTTAAAACTGGATGTGGTAGTGCACTTCTGTAATCTCAGTACTCTGCAAGGCTGAGGTTGAAGATTGCAAATTTGAGTCCTATCTGGACAAGTTAGCAACACCTTATCTTAAAATATAAGGAGGGCTGGGGATGTAACTCAGTGTGGAAGCCCTGTACCACCAGAAGATTATAAAATCCTAGGATTCAAGAGGCTGAGGCAGGATAACTGACATGAGTTCAAGGCCAGACCAAAATACATATTTCAAAACCAGCCTTAAGTACAAAGCAAGCTGTTGTTTCAAAAATGTAAAACCTCTGTCTGGTAAGCATGAGGTCGTTGAGTTCGATCCCAGCTAGAAACAAACAAAAAAACCTAAAATAATTTTTTTAAGGGTCTCACTAAATAATTCAGACTGGCCTTGAACTCACTGTATTACCCAGGCTAGGAAATCAAATTGATCCTCACGTCTCAGCTTCTCAAGTGCAGGGATTACAGGCATGCTCTGCCATCCCTGGCACAAAATACATCTGAATTTATGGTTTTGGATTATCATTTCCTATCACAGTAATATAGTGTCTGGACATAAATTTTTTTAGAGGTGTAATCCACACAGGGCCTCAAGTAAGTAGGCAAATGTTCTGCCTAGCTATTACTCCAGCCTTCATAAATATATTAATGAAGAATTACATCTTTTAAAAAGGTAGCCAGTACCTCCATCTAGTGGCAAAATGTTGAGGGAAGCCATGCATTGCAAATTACAAGTCTTATTTTGCAACATTCGGGATTGAAACCCAGGGCCTCAACTCCTAGGTAAGAGTTCCTACAACTGAGCTACACCCCCAGTCCTAGTGTAAGTCCCTTTTTTTTTTTTCCCCCCATTTTCTTTTTATAGTACTGAGGATTTAATCCATGGGCTTTCTACTCTATTTTTAAAATCACCCTTGTGGTCATTCATTACAGCAAACTAAAAATATTTGGTATTCAGAAGTGGGATGCTGGGATAAAAACAAAATATGACAGTAGTTTGGGAACTGGGTAGTGGGCAGAGTTTTTTTTTTTTTTTTCCTTTCAACCCTGGAGACTGAATCCAGACAGATCCTTTGCACAGGGTCACATCTCCAGCCCTTTTGTAAATTTTATTTTTTAAATTTTGTGATAAGGTCTCACTAAGTGACCCAGTCTAGGCTTGAACTTGTGGTCCCTCTGCCTCAGCCTCTCAGAGTACTGGGATAACACGTGGCTCAGAAAAGTAACTTTGAGGTATGGATACAATAAGCACTGAAGAAACAATTGGAAATTTGGACAAAATAGGTGATTCTGGTCAAGAATCAGGAGAAACTGTATAGTACAGAATGCGTCTGTCATCTTAAACAAGATACACTGTCATGACAGAATGCTGGTAAAAGTATGAACACTACAGGTGAGGCCTCCAAAGGACACCAGGGCCATGTTACTGGACGTGTTACGCAGCAGCAGAACACCTGGCCACATCTGTGTTCTAGTGTTGGTTGCAAAGCAGAACTTGTAGGCAATGAATGTTGATGTTTGCTGAGAAGACATCTAAGCTAAATTTGGCAACAAAAACTTTATTTCTTTCCTGCCTATGAGAGAAAAGAGAAAATTAAGGTAACCAGTAAGTAGAAAAGAACTAGCATTAATCATTTGGGCAGGCGAGGTGGGCTCTGTGTGGAATGGCAAGCCTGTCTGCAAGATCAACTGCCAGAGGCATTAGGTGTGTGACACGGAATTCACGGACCTGGGCACAGCAGGAGCAGAGGCAGGCTTTCCAGCAGCTCTGTAGGAAGCCTCACATCTGCCAATTCTGAGAAATTTTACACCAGCTCGAACACTGCCAGCCCCGAAGCAAAGGGACAGAGAAAGGAAAAGGTGAAGGGAGAGACTGCTGGAACACAGCCACTGCTTCACAGGGCACAGCGATGGCCGGAGTCCGGACGCACGAAGCGGGATGACTAGGGTTATTCAGTACTTCAAAGTCAGCGGGTTTGCACTGCTGGCTTTCAACCCTCCCCGGCTGTGTGTCTCATCACGGAAATCTGTCCTATGCCCTCCTTCCCCATCTCCAATTGTCTGTTACTGTAATAAAATACCGGAGATGGAGTAATTTATACAGAGAAATTTATTCCTCACAGTTGTGGAGACTAAGTCCCAGATTAGCACTGGGAAGGCCTCTTAGTCAAGTCCTCACACAGGAGTGGAGAGGTGAAAGGAGCTGAGGGAGCTCCCTACTGCCTCTCCAGAAGATGGCCCTCCTGGCCTCATCATCTCCTAGAGGCCCTACCTCAGTCCAGTGCCTACACCCTGCCCAAAAAAATGCACTTGTAAGCACCAGAGGTCACTCTGATGACCTTGGCATAAAACCAGTGAGGACCCAGGTCAGTAAGTCCCAACTTGAAGAAATGGGATGGTGAGACTGTGGACTAATCTAGGAGACGTGTGGAGAGAAGAGAGGGGAGAGTAAGGCCACAGCATGACCGTGGTAGGGGAGAGTGCACTCTGAGGACAGCGGGAGCCCAGTGAGTGCTTTGTAATGTCCGGTACTTCAGTGTGACTTGGAGTGGGAGCTAAGATGGAGACTGCTGGGTCTCACCTACAGTCTGACTCCATAGTCTGGGAAGAGCTGAAGAATATCCACTGCCACGTTCCCAGGTGACACGAACACGGCTGCTCTGCGGGCTCAAGCTGAGAGCCGCTGCTGGAAGTTAGGAAATAACAAAAAGAAGGCGTGTAGAAAAGGGGAAGACGTAGATGTTGTGGAGCAAAACAGGAGGCAAGAGACCATGGAATTCGGAGAGATGATGTGATGGTCTGGAGGAAAAAGTGACCCATCTGTTTCTGTTTCTGTGAGACAGGGAAGCAGGTGATAACAGACACTATCAGAGGAAACGTTCAGAGGTGAAAGGAAAGCAAGAAACTTTCATGCTGGAGACCTTCTTTTTTCAAGGCAAGATGATCAGTCCAATAATGGAAGAGGTAAGGCAGAGCAGGGGAAAATTAATAAATTAGCAGCTACAGAAAAAGGACTATTTATGGGTATTCCTAAGTCCTATTCTTAGTGGCATAATTGTGGTATTTTAAAAAGGAAAAACTTTTAAACATTCTTCCCATTCTGCAGGTTGTCTCTACTCCACTTGGACAGAAAGCTGCTGTCTACACGATATAAGAAACTCAAAAACTAGACTTTTCCAAAAAAAGACCCAAACAAAACATGAGCAACCAAAACAACTTCTTAGAAGTAAATGGCCAATAAATAAATGAAAAAATGTTCATTTCTAGCCATTAGTACAATGCAAATTAAAACAATGAGATTCCATCTTACTCCAGAAAGGATGGTTATCATCAAGAAATCAAGTAATACCTTGGTACAGATAAAAACGAAAAAGGCAAAAAAAAAAAAATCAAGTAATAGGAAATGCTGAAGAGCTTGCAGTAAAAAAGGGCCCCTTCTACACTGCTGCTGGGAACTAATACAATCACTATGGAAATCAGTGTGCAGATTTCTCAAAAAGCTGAAACAAGGGATTCCATTAGAGCCAGATGTGGTGGAGCATGGTTATACCACCACCACTGGGCAGGCTGGAGCAAGAGGACTGCTTTAAGTTTGAGGCCAGCCTGGGCTACCCAGTGAGTTCAAGGCCAGCCTGAACTACTTGGAGAGTCCCTATCCCCCTAATCCATTTGACCCAATTATCTCCTTTCGTGGTATCTTCCTGAAAGATATATTGCACTATATATGGATATTTATAGCAACACAATTCATTTTAGCTAAATACTGGAAGCAGCTCATAAGTCTACCAACAGATGGGTGGACAGTGGAGCAATGCTCTGCCATGAAAAAGGAACTTGAGTCACTTTCAGGCATTTGGATGCACCTTGAGACCATGATTAGCGAAATCAATCATACACACAAGCATAAATATTACATGGTTTCTCATAAGAGATTTCACTAATCATGGTCTCAATATACAAATAAATTAAAAATAAAAATAAAAGGGGCCTAGATCTTTTGCAAATGGGAAGGGGACAAAGAGAAGTAATCACAAGGAAGAAGGGAGCGGAATAGGAGAGAAAAATGTTTAAAAGATGAGAAAAGGAAAACATAGAAACAAAGCTTCTGTAAATGGGGAGAAGGTTGAAGTAGGGGAAGGAGGAAAAAAGAATCAAGATCTATCATATACAGGTACAAATCTCGATGATTAATGTGATTATGTATTCCTAAAATGTCCCAATATATCCGATGGAAGAAAAAAACGACACGGAGGGAAAGGTAGGCAAGAGGAAGGTGACAAAAAGGTATGTCGGACACACGAACCAACACTTATGCTGAATGTAATTACGTACTGTAACAAATACTAAGAAAAGTAACTTTCAAATTAGCTCTATGCAGCCTTGTTAATTTGATTTCTTGGTGATGGCTATTTTTTCTGGGGTAACATGGAATCTCAGTGCTTTAATTTATGTATCTCTAGTGGGCAGTAATACTGACCATTTCTTCATGTATCTACTGCCCACTTGTGTTTCTTCTGTGAAGTGTAGATTCATCTTATTTGCCCATTTTTTGATTGGGTCTCATTTTGAGGGAGTGCAACTTTTTGGAGTTCTTTATATATTCTAGGTATTTTGTAGTACTGGCGATTCAATGTATGGCCTTTGCATTGAGCTATATCTGCTATTTTTGTTGTTTTTTGAGACAGGGTGTCACTACATAGTTCACGCTGACCTTGAACTCATTATGTAGCCCAGACTGGTCTCCAACTCACCAAGATCCTCCAGCCTCAGCCTCCCAGGTGCTGGGATTACAGGCAAGTGCCACCACATGTGGCTTTCTGCTTTTTAAGTTTTCAGAGGGTACTGCTAAGTTTCCCAGCATGGCTTCAAACTTGTGCCTCCTGCCTCAGCCTCACAAGGAGGTAGATTTACAAACAACTACGCACCACTAAACCTGACCAAGGCTGACTTTTGTATCATGAAGTCATGTGTTTATCCATCTAGCTACCACAGTTGGAATAAGTAAAATATGGTTTCTCAATTTTAAAATGTTTTTAAATTTAGTTTTTCTATGCAGTTAGGTTCCTGAACACAACTGAAGTTTTTTTGTAGTCAGTTTTCTGATTATTGTATTGTTCACATGGTCACTAATATGTTGCTGAGCATATCTATTATTTATTTATTGGTTTTTGGAGACAGCGTCTCACTACATAGTTTGGGCTGCCCATTAACTCACCGAAGTTCTGCTCCAACTCACTAATGCAGGGATTACGGGTGGGCACCACCATGCCCAGCTAACTACCCATCAGTATAACCTACTTACACCAGTTTTAAAGTAAGTATTTCACAAATTTAAAACACATCCTAGAAACTACACACATGGGCACGTGTGCACGCACATATATACACACAAATTGTTTTCACATGGAAATACATCTCGAGCCCTTTTTGAGGTGAGGTCTAAGTCACTAAGTTGTTCAGGCTGCTTGGAACCTGTGATCCTCCTGTCTCAGCCTCCCAGGGGATACTGGGATTACAAGGCCAGCTCCATCACCCCCAGCACTTTCACATTCATATATAAAATATGGTACTTTATATATAACATGCCTGCTTCCAGGCATGACGTTCACATGCTAGAGTAAATGAAAAAGCTAGAATTTTAAATCTAAAAGAAATATTTTCCTTATTTGTGTTTCTGAAGGCTGGTTGGGATTTACTGTTTCATCTTGAAATATGTAACGACTATAAAATTTCTCTTCTCAGAGACAAGGTCTTGCTATGCTGCCCATGCTGGTCTCAAATTCCTGGCCTCAAGCAATCTTCTTGCCTCCTTACTCAGTGGCACAACAGATGCTCGCACTGTCACAACCGGGTAAAATTTTTAAAAGTCTCAGAAACTATGGTATAGTAGAACATCAACATTTTCTGAATAGGTGAAAGCTTTTATATTACTTTTATTTTGCAAGAAAATAAATTATACAACTTAAAAAATAAAATCCAAAATTAAGCAGTTCATCAAAATATTTCAGCCTACTGCATACAGAAACTGCTACTGTTTTGAATTGTACAGCATTATCATCTCAGTATGTAGTGGCACACATTCAAAGATCGCATAAACCATGTGAGGAGAGATTACACCTTAGAAACTCAAATTTGCTCAGCACTGTAGATGACATACTCTCATGTGTTATTTATTTTACACACATGACCTTGGAAGAATCTATAAAGACAATATCCCGAGTCCTTTACATGAAAATAAAAAAAAGCTTAGATTTATGATAGCAAATCTTTCTGTAAAACCAGCAAATCTTTCACTCCAATTCAATTTTAAAAATTTGTCCTTTGAGCAAGGTTACTGACATATTATTGCAAACAATGAAAAGTTATCTTTTAAAGTACTAAGGTCATATTCTATTAAGTGTAATAAAAAGTAAAAATAAAGCTAACATTTCATTTTTGGAAATTTTAGCATTTATGTAAAAAGTAAAAGACAAAGAATTAAGTGGGCTGGTAAAACTCAGGGATTACTCAACTGTTCTTGTAGGAAAAAAAAAAAACCCTCAGGGAAACCCCCCCCCCCATAAATGTAAAAATTGGAAGACTTCAGAATTTCTTATAATCTCGTTAAATTATTGAAATAATATCCTAACATTTATCGCATTGTAAGCATCAAACATGTCATATATTTTCCCTTCATAAATTTTGTTTCATATCTACTTACTATGGCAATGAGGTGGCAACAGAAAGTTACCATTTTCAGATGGTTCCATCTTTAAACCAGAAGAGAAGTGTTCCAAACTTAACCTCTAGCCAGGCACGGTGGCATACGCCTCTAATCCCAGCACTTGGGAGGCTGAGGCAGGAGAACAGCTGTGAGTTCAAAGCCAGCCAAGGTGACAAAAGAGTTCAAGGACAGCCTGAACTACATAGTAAAACCTTGTCTTAAAACAACAACAAGACAAAAACTGAAAGAAAGAGAAAGAAAGAAAGAAAGAAAGAAAGAAAGAAAGAAAGAAAGAAAGAAAGAAAGAGAAAGAAAGAAAGAAAGAAAAAAGAGAAGAGAGGAGAAAAGGAGAGGAGAGGAAAGGAAGGAATTAAACTCCGAGGAGTCTCCTGCAGCACTACTCATAATAAAGGGTTTTTTTGTTTTGCTTTTTCCTGGTCTTGGAGTTTCTCTTTTCTCAGAACTATGTGAGGTTTCATCCCTGCTCAGATAATGCTAATTTTAAGTGCACACTGGAGAAAGAGACCTGATAAGGAATACTGTGATTCTGTACCTTTAGCAAATTACTAGTTAAAATTATTTTTTCAGACTCATTTTTTAAAATTAGCAAACATGTCAAAACATCTTTAAAGAAAATTTAACAACGGTATAGGCACTGTGTCAATACAATGGTTTTCATAAACAACAAAAATTAAACTTTTGTATACGTAATTTTTAAAAATGATGAAAACTGTAAGTCTACAGTATTGGCTGCTGTTCAACCTCTCAAATAGAATTACGACATAATTGGCTACTTATGAAATTTAATAGAAAACTTTAGCTATGGATTTAGCATTACTCACTTTGCATTCAATTTTCCTTTCAGAATCAAAACACTATGGCTCTCATTCTTAAATGACCAAAAAGATTAGAAATACCAAAAAAGTTCTAGAAATAATTACGGTTTAAAAAACAAATCTTATACATTTATAAAGGTCTATAATTTTTCCTATTTCTTTCTTTGGCTTTCTTGTATCAGGACAAGCAAATGCCAATACCAAGCGATTTGTGAGACATAATTTATCCACTGTAACAGTCGTCTAATTAGGGAAAACAATGAACACTAATTTTAATTCAATATAGGATGCTTGGTCTATAATTCATATATGCTATCTTACAAGTGTATGGCTGTCAATTATCCACAAAACTCCCAATTTTCTATGAGTTTCAGAACAAGCATTTGAGTCTAACTGGCAAAACCTTCACTACTCGGGATGGAATGCGCCTTCCTTCTCTCAGCAGGAAGTGCACGGTGCTTCCCAGACCGGTGGCACCTCCATGGAAAATGGCTCTCCCGAGCACCCTGCCATGTACTAACACTGGATGCCTTCCAGCACCTACCTTCTTCCAAACCATACTTAGTACTTGACATCAAAAACATAAAAATAATTTTTAAGAAAATTTGAGGGGCTGGGGATTTAGCTCAGCGGCATAAGCACCTGCCATGCAAGTGCTTGGTCGTGAGTTCAATCCCTGGTACCGAAAAAAAAAAATTGAAACATGCACCACGATAAATAAAAATCCATATTGAGCCATTTTGTTTTCCCCATAGGGAATATAATTTTTTTCTTTTCAAGTTGTTGTTCAAGTTCTCAAGTCCTAAAATTTCTACTGCTCTGGGTATCTAGTTGCCAGCAACTATTAAGCTGCTGCTTTGGACTGACTGAAAGGAACAAGGTAACTGTTGCCTTCTGAACATTTTTTAAATGTTTATTTTTAAAATATATAAATATATATGTACATATTTGGCAAGTTTACTGCTCATGTTAAGATTATAACATCTTTGCTTATGCTTTTCAGGACTTATGTGGGGTTTGTCTCTTCCTCCTAGCTTACTGGTAATTGTTACTTTTTACAGAAAATGCTTTCCTTTCCAGAAACCTGAGGCTGTAGATCCCTAATCATGAGACTTCAAAATACCAAAATAGTTCTATGCTACAGATTAAGAGGTCAGCCCCAGAAATGTGTTCTATCAGAGCAGATTTCGGCACTGTTTCTAATTAGACCAGCATAATAAACATTAGGCATATAAAGATGAAGTGTGTTAGTGAACACACTGCACGTGTTTGTCTCACTGTTCTGGCTGTGCAGTCATGGCTTCCCTGTGCTCACGCAGACAGTACAGATACTAAAGCTGGAACCATAACGACTGCCCGATCTCTGCGATTTTTCTCAAACAACTGAAGCAACAACATGAGCTTTACTCCCAAACAAGCTCTCCAGCCACATAAGGTCTTTAAAAACTCATCACTCAGTAACAAGTAACTAAAGCAGTGGTTTCCTGCTTTAAAAAAATTTTCAAATTAGAAATATTAAATACCATTTTTTAGGTCACCATTAAAATCCAGTTATGATGCTGAAGCAGTGTTCAAATAATCTGAAGCTGTGAAAGACTGCTCTTCTCACCTACATCTGCCCTCTCCCAATGTTGTGTTGACCAGCTCACTCTCTTCATCACAAGAAGCCACAAATGCTACTTCTAGTTTTAATTGCAGTTTTTTAAAAAACAAAGATAACAGCATTTTTCAGTGCATGAATATCTGAATATCCTTCCTTGTGCAAGTACATTTTTTAAGAGGAAAAATAAAAGCAACAAGAACCCCGCCCTCGCCCTTCCCATTGTGTTTTTCCTGATGTAAAAATCGGATTTACTTTTAGAAGTTCGTAATGGGCTCTTCATGAATGCAAGGTTCTCCACAAAACAGCATGCTGTTACTGAGTGTGCAACATGAAGGGAGGCCGTCATGCTAACGAGTGTGACTGGCAAGTAAGAGTCGTTCTGTAAGGTAAGGCAGAGATCTGAATACTTATGTCATCAAAGTCCAAATCAGCCTTTCTTCAGCTCAAACTGTGACAACTTTCTGCCCAAGCACTCCAAAATCTGTATTCTTAGTCTTGTCTGTGATATTCAAAATTATGCCATATATATGAAAGTGTTGATATCAGATTCATCTCTTCTGATGTATTTGTGCTCTATTAGCCATTCTATTTGCTCTTTTATCATTTTCTTTTGTGGTAAGAACATATTTTTCAAAATTTCTACTAATTCAGTCTGCAGCTGAGCATTACTAATTTTCTTTCTCATTTTCATTATTTGTATGATAGCTTCCTAAAAGAAAAAACAAAAATGAAAGAGTATTAATATATTAAGTAAAATAAAATGAGAAGTGACTTTTAATGTATCACCCTCTATCCAACATCTATTAAAATGAACAGCAATCACTAAGGGATTAACATAAAAGAAGTATTTACAGAATGAATAAAAATATCTTTTTCACTCCTACAAAAGAAAATCTGACTACAGAGATTTTGAAAATAAGGAAAATCAGAATTACCCACAACCTCTCTGCTAAAAGAAAGCCACATTTAACATGTTTGGATACATTTCCTTTCGTTTCTTTTTTTCCATATCATGCACATTTTATTTGTTTGTTTGTTTCTCTTTTTCAGAAACAGCCTCACTCTGCAGGATGGGCTCCAACTTGCAGTGATCTTCCGGTCTCAGCCTTCTGTGTGCTGGGATTAAATCATATGCCAACACACCCACCTATCATGTACATTTTAAAAAATTATCTTACCTATGAATATAATATGCACATAACCTAGTATTGTGTTAAGTATAAGTTCAGATACAACAAAATTTTCCCCTTGAATTTATTCCTTTATGTTGTAGTAGCTAGACGCCAGTTGGTGTCTGTTTTAAATGGGTATTGTGGTGACGGCCTAGAATCCCAGCAGTCTGGATGCTGAGGCAGGACTGCCTCAAATTTCAAGGTCAGTGTGAGTTACCTAGTGAGTTCAAGGCCAGCCAGGACTACACAGCAAGATCCTGTCTCAATTCCCATGGCAAATAATTGAGTACTACTCATTACATATTTACCAGATTAATAAATTATATGCTATGGTATCTTTAGTTTGCATTGAGTTTTCAATTAAATGTTTTTAACAGGCTAAAGGAATAAACACTTTCATTTAGATCAATTTTACCAATATTTTTCTTGGCAATTTCTTTAATTACAGTTAAGCTTGTAATAGAAGTTAACTGAAAACTGCTAAACCTTTTCTTTCACCTTTTCCAGTACAAGCTATCTTGCCTACAAAAGGCATCTATCTGCCTTAGTGGAGATTATAATCTGTAATAAAGAAAATGTAAAAAAGGGAAAAAAAGAAATACAGTTGGTTCTCTGTATTCCTGGGTCCCACAGCCAGACTCAACCAACCCTGAACCAAAAATATAGCTACTAGGCCTGCGATGGTTGAATCTGTACTGAACATGTAAAAAATTTTTTCCTCAACATTTTTCCCTATGTAATACAGTATGACAACTATTCACATAACATTTACTCTGTATTGGGCATTACATGTAATCTAGAGATGGTTTAAAGCACACTGGAGGGGATGTACAGATTACATTCAAATATGTATCACTTTATGTAAAGGATCTGAGCATCCATAGATGTGGCTATCTGTGGGAGCAGGGGATCCTAGGACCCACTCCTGGTGGACACTGTAAGACTACTGCATTTTCTTTTAACATTTAATATGGAACTTTGCTGGAATAAATAGGATTGGGAGTCATGCCCTATTTAACAATTTCAACTTATTTCAAGTTTGCTGCATGACAATTTCTTCACCAGCACTACAAGGTCAACTGAATTCCTTTCTCGCTCTCACCATAACCAAATACCAAGTTCTTTTTGTTTGTTTTTTCCAGCGCTAAGCAAGTTCTTCAATAGAGATCATTCATAGTTTATGTCAAAGGTACAGACAGGAAGAAGAAAGAGGGAAAGTTTGTTTTTCTAAGCACTTGATGGAACCAGGGAGGAAAAGAAGACAATTCTAAATGTCCCAACTCTCCTCTTCCGGCTTTAATAAAGATGGAGATGGTGGTTGTGTTAGAGAAGCTAAAAGGAAAACAGCAGAGGGTTTCTGGTCCTGAACCCCATTTCATACGCTGGAGGTCTATAGAGAAGGGTGGCATACTGGAAAAAACTACCCAAACTACGGACTAAGTCAAGAACTGCAGAAGGGGGACAGGCACAGCAGACAGACATAACAGTGTGCCACGTAGATCTAGGGACCATCCATCAAATGGGGCAGGCTCACAGTACTCAAAGGTTCACTAAGAACTAAGGAAAGGTCAGGGAAGAGGTCATGTGGCCATTATCAACTAGGGAAAAATAAAACATCTTAAATTCATTTGCCACAGACACCAGTACCACATACCAATAGAAAGTCAAATTGCCAAAAGGACAAATACACCACTCCGTAACAACCAAACAGCAAGAACCCAGGACACAAAAATACTGGGTGGATGTGACAGTCCCTTCAATGTCACTACAAGGATAGGTGAGTTCCTTTCACCTTCAATAATGTATAGAGGCCATCTATAGAAATAGTACACAATAGGGATGGGTTGCCTAGGATCAAGAAATGAAAAAAAAGGTTGATTATTATACAAAGAGCTTAGATTACTAGATTGGACAGAACTACTGGTCACTTTCAGACAAATGAATACTTCTGTACAACTTATAGTATTACTATACCTGCTATCCTCACAAACCCTGTGACACCTTAGTCCATCTATAATTTATCTTGACATACCATAAACTGGGAACAAATCCTGATTACTTCCCCAGACAGTAAAATTTCCCAATGCCTTTTTTACTGAATAAGCATTCTCTTTCCATGGGTTTTAGGAAGTATTTTCTTCATTGCTTTAAGTTCACTGATACTTGTTTATTCTTCAACTAATAGTCTTGCTACAGAACATTAATTTTATAGAAATTTCAATCAATTTTAAGGTTTAGCAGAGCCAACTTTCTTCACCACGAACTCATTCACTTTTTTTAAGTTTCTCAATCACTCTTATCTGTTTATTTTGATAAAACTTAAAATAATTTGTAAAATTTCAAAAATATGCCTAGTTGAATTGTTACACAAAACTTGGTGTACATGGTATTAACATGTGGGGAAAAAATCAGTTGTTGAAGTTACTCGCTCCTGTCAGAAAAGAAAGTGTCTTTCACACTGTGCAAAAAACAGGCTCTGATTCCATCTGCTAAGACTCCGAACGAGCAAAACTAAGCAACGGTGCTAAGAATGAAGCACAGCAGAGCAGAGGACTGGCTGAAAGGGAGACGGGGAAGTTATCTACTCATCAAAGTTCGTTTTTTTATTTTTTTGGTACTGGGAATTGAACTCAGGATCTTTTGCGTGCTAAGCAGGTGCTATGCCGCTAAACTATATCCACGGAACAGCTCATTTAAAGTTAGACTAGGGCTACAGCTCAGTACTCCTTCGGTTCAATCCTCACTACAGGCTGGTCTTCAACTTGTGGCGATCTTTCCTGCTTAGTCTCCAAATACTAGGATTACAAGAGTGCACCACCATGGCCAGTGAACTTAAAACACCTTAATTAGAAAAGGGTGAAGAAAACTACACAAACAAAAAACATAAAACCTCAAGGTGGATATTTGTCTATATTCAATTCCTTTCAGAATCTCTCAGTAAAAGTCTATTCTATACAGGTCCTACTCACTATTTTAAAAAGTCAATGAATTTAAGGTTTCTCATTTTATTTTCCTCTTCTCTAATACTACATAGAAAATAAGTGATTTTTACATATTAATCTTCTCTCCTACTTTATTGTATTATATAATCAACAAATAATGAAATAGTTTGATCTTTCCTCTGGTTTCATATTTTACTGCAATGGCCAAGGGTTTTAAGTATTAAATACAAACAGGAAAAGTAGAAAACCAGGCTGTTAAAAGACTACCTAAGTGTGGGATGGTGGCACATTCATATAAAGCCACTACTTGGAAGGCCAAGGCAGTAAGACTGCTGTGAATCTGAGACCAGCCTGTACTATGTAGTGAGACCCTGAGTCAAACCCCTCCACCAAAAACAAAAATAAAAAAAAAAAAACCTTATCTAAAGATAAAACAATGTTTACAAAGTATTTAAAGATAAAATAATCCTGATAGTACTAGTTCTAAAGCACTTTTAAGAAAGGAATAAATGTTAAGAGAACTGGTTCTAAATAAAGTTTCCTAACTGGACATTACAATGAAATTAGAAGTCTCAAAATTAAATGCAATTATAAACAGTTCAATTCTATGACTGACTATTCTTCAAACTCCCCATCCCACTCTAGTACTAAGGAAGGAACTCAGGGATAGTCTACACTGCACTACATCTCCAACCCATTTAAAATTTTCAGCATGTTGTGCTCAACTGCCCAAACTGAGCTAGAACTTTCAACACTGTCTCAGACTCCCAAGAAACTAGGATTACAGACACATGTCAGCATACCTGGATAAAACCAAGATTTTATCCAACCAATAAATCAATGTACTGAAGGACATCAAACCGTATCTCTGTCAGCACTGAGAGAATTCCATCAATATCAGTTGTAAAATGAAGTTCACCTTTTTTGTTACAACTACATTAATTACACATATGCTTTTAAATTTAAGTAAGGTTAAAGACTGAAGTGAAAGAAAACAAGGCTTTTAAAATTTAGACATTTTATCTGAGTATCACAAACCTGGGTTCTCAATATTCTAAGTTGAACTATTCCTTCATTCTCTTCTTCCCTCATCCTTTCTGTAGTGAGTTGCAAGCGTCCAATCAAGTTGATTTTACCCCTCTTCTGAACTTTTGCATTTTTTCTGTAAAAAATATTCAAATATTTCACAGTGAATAAAATACATATATATTTAAAATAGCGATATATTTAAGAAGTAACATCCAGACTATTTTAAAAAACCAAAATAAAGCTTGGTTTAAAAGAAATTCTGATTTTGCTCAAATATAACATCACCTGTTAATAAAATGATTAAGCTAGCCAGGCAGGGTGTTGCACCGCCATAATGCCAGCACTTGGAAGACTAAGGCAGGAGGATCCCCATGAGTTCCACGCTAGCCTGGGGCTTTATAGTGAGTTCAATGCCAGTGTTGTGGGTTGTGTTTAGTTGTCATCCCAAAGCCTCAGGCAGTTATAGGTGGGGCTTTTTCAGAGGTGACTTGATCTAGAGTGTGTGATTGATTTAGGGTGCTATGTTCAGATTAAAAATGGATGATTACTAAATTCGTCCACTGACTGCTTTGGTAACCACCCTAATCCCAGTAACCTGGATACAATATAAAAAAGGGGCAGAAAGAAGCTCCTAAGTTCCCTTGCTTGCCTGCTTGCTAACTCTTCTCTGAGATACCCTTTGCTATGCCACCCTGCCTTGGAGCCAGCTGATTAGGAACTGAAACCTCTATAAAGTGTGAGCCAAAATAAGAAAATAGAACCACTCCTTTTCTTTAACTTTGGGTGTCAGGTAATAAGAAAAAGAGCCACTCTTTTTCTTTAACTTTGAGTGTCAGGTATTTTGCCTCAGCAGTTAAAAAAAAGTAACTAAGACAGCCAGCCTGAACGACATAGAGGGATTCGGTCTCAAAAAACCAGAAATGAACCAAACTAAAATCACTATGCTCTTTATAATAACAAAAGACATAATTCATATTTCCATAAAAATAATTAAAGAGTGGAGATAAATGGGTTGCAATTCAGCACTATCTACCTGGATATTCAGAAAAAATATCCTTTGCTGGATAAAGATGCTTTAGAGAAGGGCTGGGGATTTAGCTCAGTGATATACGTGCCTGCCTTGCAAGCGCGTGGTCATGAGTTCCATTCCTGGTACTGATAAAAAAAAAAAAAGATGCTTTAGAGTACAAATGTCAGACACCAAAACAGTTATAAAAAAATTACTTACAGGTCATTAAATTTGTTTTTCCTTTCTTTTTATCCTTAGAAGCTCTGCCTATTGTGTTCTGGTCCTGTTCTACCATTTGAGTGCCTTTTTTTTTTTTTTTAAGACAGAACTTCAGTGTAGTTCAAGCTGGCCTTGCGCTCACTATGTAACCCATGCTGGCTTCAAACTCAAGGGAAACCAGCTGCCTCAGTCTTCTGAGTGCTGGCCCCTAATATTGTTAGTAAAAAACGAAATGCCATAAATTTAGTTACTATATTATATAGTTATTGTTTTAAATACCAATGTAAGGAACAAAATTATTTTGCTTAAAAAAAAAGCACTAACATACAAACAAGGTATTTTTATTTTAAATTAACCAACATAAACCTTACATTAAACTGAACTCCTGGTTCACTGAGAAGAGGGTACCTTCTGTGAAGTCTTTGGGTGAGCTGACTTGAGGTTCGTACAATAAAACTTGCCGTTTGAGCTTTGGGAAAGCTACTAAAGACTATGAAGAACAAAGAAAAAAATTAGCATCTGTAAACAGTATGGATCCTAGATTAATTCTGCAAAAGGATTACAAACACAAATGTACAATTTAAACTTTTGTTTCTCTGTGACTATAATGATGTTAATGCATAATGAAGAAAGGAGAAAAGACTTAGGTATGAAGAAGCAATAAATACTCTCTCTCTTTATGACAAAAAGAATCAGAAGTGTTCACACAGGCCCATAGCACACAACAGCTGCCAGTTAAATGGCAGCTCTTTCCTTGATAGGAAATAATTTATTCTGGAGCTTCTAATAAATCTATGGAGGAGGAGTAAAATGTACTTATAAGCAAGGAGCTAATGATATACTTTATACATACTAAAAGGTGTAACGTCTTCCCTCTCTCCTGCCTTTTGTTTTTCTTTCCTTCCTTCTTTTACCTCACCTTTCCCTTTCCTCTTCCATTTTTCCCTCCTTTCCTTCCTGGGACACTACGAGGGATTGAACCCAAAGCCTTTGAAGAATTACATTCCCAGTCCTTTTAGGCTTTTTTTTGAGACAGGGTATTAATAACTTATTAAATTGCCAAGGCTAGGCTCAACCTTTGGATCCTCCTGTCTCTCAGAATGCTGGGTTATAGGTATGCAACACACACCCATGTAGGACCAAAGTTTTCTAACTCTTAGATATGTGGTTATCATAAATCTTCAAACACACTCTCAGGATAAAAATTATGTGTAGGGTCAGGGATACAGCTCAGTGGCACAGTGCCTGCCTGGCAAGCATGAGGTCCTGAGTTTGATTCCAGGTATATTTAAAAAAAAATTTAGTGTAATGCCTTCAGATTCCTCATAGGTAAATAAGTAAATAAATAAATAGGTAAATACTCTACCAGCTCAGTGTCTTTCTTTTTCTATATTGGTGCTTATTTACCTATTTTAACTTTTTTTTTGCCACATATATCTCATTATTGTGTTTTCTTGGGTAAAGGTCATTTTGAGAATGTTATGAATTTTAAAGTTTACAGCAGCTGGAATGTAGCTCAGGGATAGATGCCTAGCACATGCAAGCTCTGGGTTTGATCTCTTAACACTCTCCCTCCCCCAATTACAAGCCAATCACATGTTACATTTCTCTGAGAAGACAAGTTTAAAAACACAATAAAACAAACAAACAAACAAACAAACCCATAAAGTCCTTCTAAGTTCAGCATCAGGGAGTTCAGTCGCAAGTTTTAGATTTTCAAAGCTGATTTTTTCTCTGGGTCTTTGGTTCCATGCAAACAGCACAGCCAGCTGAAAAGTGGTTACCTCCAAATCATATTGACCTACTTCATTCTTAAATGTTATCTGTAAGGGGGGGAGTAATGATTTAGTAACCTGTTCATAATAATTACAATCTATCTAACATATCTGATGAGAGAAAGACTGCTGTCTTTTAACACCTAGTCTTCCTTTCTTTCAGGGTCTTATGGTTTGTGTCTAAATGACCCTCCAAAGCCTCATGCAGTCATAGGTGTGGCTGTTCAGAGGTGGCTGGATCTACAATGTCTGATGTTAGGCTTGATTCCTGGTGGGATGCTAAGATTAACAGCACTAGGATTAAGGGTGTGAATGTGGGCAAGCAACCTGGATAAAATATAAGGGACAGAAAGAGGCTTGGTGCTTGCTTGCTTTTGCTATCTTTTGCCTGCCATGAACTATTTCTCCTCTTCAATAACCCTCTGCAATGCCAACCTGTCTTGGAAGCCAGCCAATTAAGAACTAAAACCTTTAGAAACTTTTAGTTAAATAAACCTTTCCTCTTTTAACTTTGGGTGTCAGGTATTTTGTCTCAGCAACAAGAAAAGTAACTAAAATAGATGATAATAAAAAATTTTAGCAGACCTCAATTATTCATCTTCCAGCTTTCCCTGCAGCAAAATATGGCCACGTGACTGAGGTCTATCCAATGTGATACAAGTGAAAATGACAGAGAAAACTTCTAGAAGTTGCCCTTAGCATGATGGGTGTAACTGGATGGGTGTAACCATGTCCAAACAACTGCATAAAATATACCCATTATTCCTGTTCAAATCTCTATATATGAGAGCATAAAATAACAATAACAAAAAAACTAATATGTTTAAGTAATCGTCACTTGGGAGTTTTTCTACTTTCACCCAAACCAATAGCTGAACTAACACATCTACTATCATCTACTTACTATTCCATTTGACATGAGATGATGCCAATGTAATTTTCTACCACTATGATTTTTTTTGTAAAATTCTTCCACTTCAGGTATCAAATCCTCCAGTTCAGTAGGAAGTGAAACAAAGACTTTCTCAGAGCTTCTTGACCAGGCACCAGCATTCAGAATTTTTATATTAACCGAATCAGCTAAAAGGTACAAATATGAGAAAATATAAAATATAAAAAATCTTGACAATGGATAAAATTCAAAATAAATAACAGGTTATAAACTTTGGTGAAGAATAATCAGATTCTAAAAATTTTATTAGAAGTGTTCTTTTGTTTCAAAATAAGAATTTGCAAATGTAATATTCTGCTTTACAAGCTGTCTCTGAAGCATGTAAAGTTCTCAATGTCTTTGGATCTATGACTGCTGATAATTATTTTTAACTGCTGAAAAATGAAGGTATTCTTTTTAAACATTTAAAAATACACACATCTATGTAATTATAAAATAGTACCTGGTAAAGCCAACTTATTATTTTTGTGCATTTCCTTGAAAGCTTGGTTCAAATCTTCAGATACTTTTATGTCCTGAAACATTCTAGCAAGCTTGTTTACATAATCTGCTGGCATACCAACTTCCTACAGAAAACAAAGAAGAGAAAATAAATAATCTGATATACTACTAGGAAAAAACTTTAGGTGTTTTCGTTCAGTTTTTCTTTTTTCCTTTTTTTATTGGAGTGTTTATAGTCTAACAGTGATTAAATGTCCAAATAAGAATGAGTACACATGGGAGCTAAACAACAAACACAAAGCAGGAACAAATGTGCTTCACTACAAGGGCTTGTTAAGCAAATTTAAAGTATTAGGTATCTTTATTATACTTGAGGCTATATTCTTGTAAAATGATCTTATTTCTTTAACACTAACCATACTACCAAAATACATATCAATAAGCACACACGAACCATGTGCTCTATTAGAAAATCAAATATTAAAAAAATTTACTTACTCTTAACCACTCTACCATATTTTCTTCAATTTCACTATCAGCAGAGATGTCTAATATAAGACGTCGTGTCAAATGAGCTTTGTGATATCTCATAAAAACATCTTTGTTTTGTACATATTTAAGTACCAAGAGCTGCATGAAAACAAAGTTGTTTTTAATTCTAATATATTCTCATTCCCTAATTGTCAAATTTAAAAATCTGTATAAGCAAATACAAGAAGTCTACTAGCTCAGTTACTCATTTCTGAAAATAACTAGTGCAGTACAGTCCTTCACTATTTTAAAAGTTAGCAAATTTGAGACCATAACCACATGACCAAATTTAAGTAATACACTTTGCGTAAAATGTGATAATATTTTATGTGAGAATCAATGACTCTTCCCCAACTTTCTTTTTTGCATGTCTTCTTCACTTATTCTCTGATATCAATATCAACTGTCTGTTTAGGCTTTTGTTCTATATTTGTCCTCTTCTACTACGTTTTTTTTCTCTCTCCATATTCTTAGGCTTTTTTAGGCTCATATCATTTTATTAATGACCAGGCACAACTAAAAATGCAAACAATATTCTTTCCTCTCATTTATCTCTATCTAAGAGGGTTCTCACAAAAACGAAAAGAGTAGAAAACTGCCAATCTCATTAACTGTCATTCCAAATCATTCCCTTTTTTTGTTCTTTAATGAAGGACAGAATTATCTAAACAAATCAAGAAAGGGGAAGAATTAAATGACTCCTTCTGGTGTATATAAAATAAATAATTTTAGGTGGAAGAATAATGCCCTATATAGATCTTGTATTGTGTGTAATTTCATAAAACAGCTGCTTGCAGATATAGTATATACCCTTTTTTATTGATACTATTATAGTCTTTTAAGCAAAACACTCAAGATAATTTAAAAGTCTGAAATACCACAAAATTTGCATACCACTTCTTTAAGCTTTGCCTCAATTTCTTCAGAGGTTAGTTTTTTACTTAATGGTGTTTTTCTCAGCAACATGTCACAGTAATTGGCAAGCAACTCAGGGCACTTTGATTCAGGTTGAGTTTTCAACCCCACTCTAAAAAACAAGAGGAATTGAAAATTGATTGATAATTATTTGCAATTTTTTTCTAAAGTCAATTCTTCAAACACTAACTTTCCAAGTTAACAATAAAATTCTTATGTTAAAACAACCTTGTGATTAAAGCAAAATATCTACAGTTCACGATTTAAGGAGGCACTTATTTTTATGATCCCGAAAGTGTCAACTCTATTCCTGCAGGACCCTGAGAGTGACAAATCCTTACAATTCCAGCCTCTAGGTTCCTGCTTGTCTCACTCTAATGCTGTCCATTTCAACGGTCCTTACAAAATTTAACCCAGATAAATGTTAACCTACTTTTCAGGCAGGCACTTTGTCACTGACCTAAATCCCCAGCCCCCTAAAATACTTTTCAAAACTATGTGAGCCTTGGACATTTATAAGTTAACATTTAAACTTCTCATTATTAATGAAGATAAATCTGGTACTTTAGTCTTTGAAATGTATCTATATTCTATATGATGTGCTATCCACCATCAACCGTTTTTACAAACTGTAAACAAATCTCTCTTGAACTATGAACTTGAACTTGAACTTGAACTCAGTATTTCATGTTCCTGACAAAATTTTCTTTATTTAGGAAATAGTCTTTTTTTTCCTAAAAGTTTTTTTCTCCTATTAGATTTTATTGGTACATTTTGGATATACACATTAATGACATCCATCATAGAGAATCTGTACCTATACATGCTGTAACTTCTTTTTTCCCCCATTTCCCTCCCCTCCTCTCAACCCCTCATTTGACAAAATATTTTGTTTCCATTTTTTTCTTTTTTTATTTTTTAAAAATTTTTCCTTTCTTTCCTTTCCCCCTCCTCCTTCAAACATTTTCTTCCTGTTTCACAATACCTATTATACATTTTGGTTCTTATTCATACTTTCAGTTTTTCACATCGAAAAACAACAGTATTTACATGTGTCCAATTTATTTCACTTTAGAGTGAAGGCTCAAGATGCACCCGTTTACCTGGTAGATATGTCTCAATTTTATCCTTACCACTTTCCTGACAAAAATTTCAAACCAATATACTGTATTTTTATGATTGAAGGTCTTTTATTTATCCGTCACTTTTTAAATATATGTAAACCTTAAATTCAACATTTAAAAATTTCTTGTACACATAAAATTCGTTATTTTCCACTCACATTATTCTATGTATCATCAAAATAAGGTAATTATATTGTATGTACATATACGTAAAATATATGTATATGTAGATTTATATTGGATAAGTGGACTCTTAAATTAACACATTTTTTTCAGTGCTAGTGATCAACCCAGGGGCTCAAGCACATCAGAAAACTGATGTACCACTGAACTACATCCCCAGTCTATGTATATCAACTTTCAATTAGATTGATGAAACTTTTTCCTCAATTGTGAATCCAATGAGGAATGAGCTCTGATTTTACTTCTACATTTATTTCTGTAAAAGTGTGTGTTTCTGAGAAATCTCACGTAGGTTAAGTAGATGAAACTATGGAGTAGTTTTTCTTATATTATCAATCTTATGAGCACCTTCTAAGTCACTTGCTGATAAAAAACAAAATATATGCTGATCTAACCAAAAATTTTAACAATGCAATATTTAATAATAGCTAACATCAATTATGTTAAAAACAAAGAATTAGAAATTCACTTTATGTACATCAATATTAATATTTTAAATATTTTTCCTTCTGAGGCAACCTTGGACGTTTTTATAGTTGAAGACAAAACACCATAAAAGAATGATGAAAGGTGTGTTTTTTCTTTGCAACATGGGGATGACTTGTGAACGTAGTGGAAGAACTGCACTAATAGTTTCACCACAGGGTTCAGTTTTAGAAGAGGAGAAGCATGATTTGAGGATGCAGACATGGATTTCCTTAAAACTGTCCACATGAGGCAAGACTTTAGGAAAGTCTTTTCTCTATCCCAATAGAGACATACTCTGCTAACTTAATGAAAATCTATTCATCTCTTCCAAACTGTCTGCAGCACCCATGCCTAGTTCACCTGTGAACTCCTGACCTCAGTCTGCTGAGAAGAGCTATCAGTCTTGCAGATTGAAAGTAGTGTGTCATCACCTTCGCATCCCCCCACCTACTTTAAAGTTTTATTTTCAGTTGTAAGTTGTTGTACTATTTTGCACATACAAAACAGTTTAATTTGGATTTATCCTGTTTGGGATATATTACAATCTTTCAACAATTTTGGAAATTTTTGCTCTATATTTTTTCAAATACTGATCATGTAGTCTTTCTCATTTTCTATGACTAATTTCTTATCGCTGTAGACATTTCTATTTTTTTTCAGTCAACACTTTCCACCTAGTTGGCCTCTAATACAAAAATATTTTTTCATGCTATTATCTCTACTTAACAGTTGCAGATGTAATTCACATACCATACTATTTGTTCACTCAAAGTTTACAATTCAATGTTTGAAAAGTATACTGACAGGTGTTCAATCATCGTCATAATCAAATTTTAGATTTTTCATTACACCAAGGAGAAAGCTATATCGGTTAGAGTCAAATCCCATTCGCTAGCTAACCCCATATCCTCCTCACCACCCCTGCAATAATTCAGTTTTTTTTTTTTTTTGTCTCTATGGATTTGCTGTTTCTGGATAGTTTTGATGCTATCTTCCACTATGTAGTCTTTTGTGACTGCTTTTATTTAGAATAATGTTTTTAAGATTCACCTACATCACACAATATATTGGTAGCTTCTCACCTTTTTAGATAATATATCCTTTTATTGTGGTAAAACAGATCAGCCACTTTAGCCATGTTTAAGGGTATAATTAGTGGCATTAAATATATGTATAATGTGGTACCAACATCACTACTACATCCAGAACTTTTCCATTATCCCAAACAGAAGCTATATATCCATTAAAAGATAACTTCCTAGTCTCCTTCTACTAGTCCTGCATAAATCAGTTTACATTTTGTCCCAGAATATCAGAAACTACTCAGTGCAGCATTAAAACATCAATAAATAAATTATGTCACACCCACCAGGCAGAGATATGCCTTGCTACTATGGAGAATAAAGCTATAAAGAACTCGCAGCTATCATCCTAATGGTCAAAGACAGAGAAAACGTGAATCCCTTCAAATAAAGGAAAAGTCGGGGATACTTGAATTTATCACTGCCACTCATCACTGTATTACAAGTTCTAATACAAACAATTAGGCAAGAAAAAGAAGTAAGACATCCACATTAGAAAGTATCATCTGTTATCAAACATCATGATCTTCTACAGAGAAAACCTGAAAGAATTCACAAAAAAGAGCTTTTAGAGCTAATAAATTTAAGAAAGTTACAGGCTATAAGATCATATCAAAATCACTTTTCTTTTCCTTTTTTTTTTGGTGCAGGGGATCAAACTCAGGACTTCACGCTTGCCAGGCAGGTGCTTACACCACTGAGCTGAATCCCCAGCCCCACTTTTATTTTCTTATACCAGCAATAAATAATCCAAAAGGAAACCAATCAAAACAGGACAGTAACAGCATAAGAGCAGACATATATATATATATATGCCAATGGAACTGAATTAGAAATAAACACATAAACCATGGCCAATGCATTCATGATAACATGGTCATGACCATTCAACTTGTGCTGGGGAAACTGCATATCCACATCCACACAAAAATGAATGCCCATGGACTTTGATCTCACACTACATAGAAAAATTTACTCAATGTGAGGTAAATTAAACCTTTACTGCTTTAGAAAAAATTCACTCAAAATGGATTGATGACTTAAATGTAAGAGCCAGTCATACAACTCTGAGAAATGTAAAGGTGAATCTTCAGTACAAATTTAGTCCTGAATTTAAGAACAGTCCTTAAGTCCTGAATTTAGAAACAGAATCTTAAGTACAAAACTAAAACAAGGGCCAGTGATAAACTCAGCGGCACAGGTACCTGCCTGGTAAACTCGAGGTCCTGTGTTCAGTGCAAAACAAACAAAAACACAGTAACAAAAGAAAATACTACTGATGTTAAAAGCTTCTGTGCAGTGTGCTAGGTATGAGCTCAGTTATACGGCAATGCAAAAGGCCCAAACAAAATATAGCTACTGTTCAGCAAAAACTATTATCCAAAAAGTAAAGCATATCTACAGAATGGAATAAAGTATTTGCAAATCATATATCTGATAAGGCTCATGTACCAGCATACATAAAAAAGTTTTACAAAACCAAAAAGATAATGAAGCCAGTTTTAAAATGGCAGAAAGCAGGCTGAGAATGTTGGTGCACACCTATAAAATCAGCACTTGGGAAGCTCAGGAGGATCACAAGTTTTCAAGACCAGACTGAGCATGTATGACTGAGAGAAGCTCTGTCTCGGAAATCAAGTTTAAAAAAAAAGAATACAAAAAAAAGGGGGGGGGGGCCTGGGGATTTAGCTCAGTGGCATAAGCACCTGCCTTGCAAGCAGGCGTGAGTTCGATCCCCAGTACCGATTAAAAAAAAAAAAAAAAAAGAACACAAAAAAGAAAATCAGGTAAAATAAAAATACTGTCACCTTCAGCCTGAGTTCAAGATCAATGATATCATAAACTTGCCACTGGTATAAAAACTGATGAAAAAAATTTCTATTTAAAGTTAGATAATAGAGGACATACAAATGTACTACTCTATTTAGATTACCTAATAAAAACTACAATTAGTTTTGCCATATTGAATATAAATCATTTCAGAAGAAAAGGAAAAAAATACACAAAGGACTTGAATAAACATTTTTCCAACACAGATACAAGCATATGAAAGGATGAAACAAGGGCTAGGAATGTAGCTCAGTGGCACAAGTGCCTGCCTGGCAAGTGTGAGGTGGTGAGGTGGTGTACCTAGGTCGATCCCTAGGTACAAAGGAGTAAGAGAGGGATGAAGGAGAGAGAGAGAGACAGAAAGAGAAAGAAAGAGAGGAGAAGACAGAGAGAGAGACAGAGAGAGAGAGATGCTCACAATGTAGTTGAAGAAATAAAATCAAGCCACGTCATACCTCTAGTATGGCTATAATCAAAATAATGCAAAATAACTTAATGCTGGAAAAGATGCAGAACAACTGGAGCCTTTGTACAGTAGTTTGCTGATAGGACTGTAAAACAATTCAGCTTTTACATAAGTTGATCAAAATCTCTCTCGATACCCCGTACTGGGGATCGAACTCACAACCTTGCACTTGCCAGGCAGGCGCTTATGCCGCTGAGCTAAATCTCTGGCTCATCCATCAAAATCTTAAATACACAGGTTCCGGTGACTCCATAATTCTATTCCTATGATACTCCCAACAGAAATAAAAAATACTAGTAAAAGAAAAGTGCGCGCACATTCATATTTATAAGTAACACTATCCACAGAGATAGAAAGTAAATAGATTTGGGAACGGGTGGAAGAAACTGCCTAACAGGAAGTAAAGGATTTTACTTTGAAGTTTTATGTATTTACAAATATGTAAATATTTATGTTTCTTTTTGTTTTGTTCTGGTTTTTCTGAGACACTCTCATTATGTACTTCAAGTTGGCCTCAAACGCCTAACAACCCATCTGCCTCAGTCTCAAGTGCTAGGATTATAGGCATGCACACAAATATTTTGGAAAACAGAGTTGGTGGTTGTACAATGTTGTGAATGTATGAAATAACTCTGAATTATTCACTGTAAAATGCTCGACTTAATGTTGTTTGAAGTCATTTCAATAAATTTATAAAACAGCAACCATAAGGAAGACATTCAACTTGACAATGAACAGAATACCTGTGTTAAATGAATCTTTTAGTAAGTAATTATAAACTCAGGAGGAAATTTTTTTAAAGAATGAAAAATTTCCAGGAAAAAGAGTAACCAGATATAGGCAAAAACCATGGAAAAGGTTACACTTTAAAGAAAGTAATGGTACTGAGTACATTTCCAAATGGTAGATCTTTTGCTTGAAGAAAACTCTAAGTGCCACCTTCAGGGCAGCTAACATTCAAATACAAACCTGCATCTTTCTAGTTGCACAATCAGGACAGAGTTCAGAATAATATAACAAAAACCATTCTCTGCAGCTTATTTACATATCCCGGATAAAATGTGATATTGCCAAACATACAAAGAAACATAAAAATGTTACCTACATACAAGTGGAAAAAGAATTCAACAGAGATCTAGGATAATCAAAATAAAAATCAAAGTATAATCAACTGAACAAGAAATCGTGAGTCTCTATTGGTATAATAAATAACTATATGTAAAAAAGCTGATGAAGAACGGGATCTTTACAGTTTTAGAGTACTTCCCAAAAATAATTATAAAAAGAGTAACTTAGTAGCAGAAAGATCTGACAGACATCAAATAATCAACAAGAACAAAACAGTAATAGAATCAAAATCTTGAGTCCTCAGATAAGATGTGGGAGGAAGAGAGCTTCACTTCTGCCAAAGATGGAAGTCCAAATCTAATCACACGGAACACTGTAGTGACACAATTAAGGGCCATTTTATAGCTCTTTTGTAAACCTTCAAATTTGCAAGGGCATGAAAGTAAAAAAAAAAAAAATACAAAGCAAACAGAGATGGTTTGGACAAAGAAGATCAAAGAGTCAACAAAAATTAAATGATTCTGTACTAAATGTATATTTGTTATAACAATTCATTTATAGTTAATTCATGAATTTTAAGGGGGTCTGAATGCTGGGTGTGTGCACGTTTATAATCCTAGCACTTGGGAAGCTGAGGCAGGAGGATCACTGTGAGTTCGAGGCCAGCCTGGGTTACATAAGCAAGTTCATGGCCAGCCTGCACTACAGTGAGACTCTGCCTCAAAAGAAGTATTCATTAAGGGGTCTCAGGAGTAAGTACAGCAAGTGGTAGTATTTTTCAAAAATCATTTTTAGATTTTGGAAATTGTACTGCAATTATGTTTGTAGAAAATACATACTAATGTATTTGGAATAATAACATCCTCAAATGACTCTAGAAAAAAGATTTATTGTGTATTTGCTAAGAGAAATGGGCAACAGAGGAACAATCTGGACAGTATGCACACACACACACATATATGATAACCTAAAAGAAACCAGTAAATTCACTGGAAACCATAATTAATCCAAACAACTAGATAAAATGAGAAATCTGAGGAGTTCTGTGTCTTAAAGAAATTAAACTCATAAATTAAAAAGCTTTCTACATAGAAAACTCAAGGATTAAGTGACTTCACTTATGATTTTCATCAAATATTTAAGGAACAAATAAAACCAATTACACTAAGTCTCTCCGAACATAGAAAAATAATTACTTGTATTAAAGCTGATTTTTTTAGTATCATGGAGTAAATGGAGTCACTGTCTATGTTTTCATATGTAATAGAATACCTTTAGTGACTAATAAGGAAAAAAAACAATCAAATAATTAAAATGAAATGTTTTTGTATTTCAGAAAATAAAGTTAACTTTTCTGGCTGTAAAGAAGATTAATAAAAAATACTCAAGGGCAGAAAGAGTCCTAAGAATAACAACAAAAACAAACCTAACAGGAAAACAGAGTACCTTACTGACCCAGTAACATATAATACAGTTCAAAACTATTTTTATTTATGTATTTTTTTGCTATCAGGGATTGAACTCATGACCTCGCACTTACCAGTAGGTGCTGTGCTGCTGAGCTATATACCCAGCTTGATTTTAATTATTTTAAAAATATGCTTTTAAAAAAGCTTACCCTTTCTGCTTCAAAGGTAATTCAAGTTTAAATATGGTAGCATCATTCACAACAGCTTTATATGCCTGCAAAATATAATTTGAAGTGGAATATGAGAATTAGTCTAGATATTTACCACATATTCATAAATTATTACACTTCTAAAAGTATGTAAAAAAAACTGGGTATTTTACTGTTGTTTTGCAGTGGTGGAGATCAAAGCCATGGCCTTTACACATGCTGAGCACTCACTCTACCAATGAATAACACCCCTAACTCAGACTTTATTTTTACTGATATTTCTGTAATGATAGAGTATGTATTTAATGACTTTAGCATGCTCTGTCGTATTATAACTATCAATATTAAGGTTAAGGTTACCTCACAACCACACCATTATAATTCCTAATTTTTCATATTCAGTCTTTTTCTCCTAGATAGCTTTTATTTATTGGTTGGGGAGGGTCTCACTATATAATTCAGGTGGGTCTTAAACTCACTATGTAGACCTGGCTAGCCTCAAACTTGCAGCGATCCACCTGTCTCAATCTTCCAAGTGCTGGGATTACAGTAGTACAATGTGCCACTACTCTGGCTCCTAGACAGTATCTTTGTACCATCTCCTTTCTCTTCAAGCCTCCAATGTTTTCTTCCTGTATTTACTCTCAACTATCCATATGCCTTCCTATTTTGCTGAGAAAACAGATGTAATCAGAATTCCCTCTACTAATGCCTACAATTTTCCCCCTCATCATTTCTGCAGGCTCAGTGGAAGAAGCATACTGTTATTTTTTTTACATCTTAAACCTTGTCTCTTGGCTCTGTCCACCTTCAGTTAATATCCCATTTCTTTCTATTCTTTTAAGTAAACTCCTAGAGAATTATCTAACTCGTCATCTCTAGTATCTTTCCGCATATTTTTTTTCTTCATTCTTTTTCCTTGTAGACAGGGTCTCACTATGTAATCCAGACTAGCCTTGAACTAAGTAGCCAGGGTTGGCCACAAACTCCAAGATTCCCCTACCTCATGCAAGTGCTGGGATTACAGGCAGGCACCACTACACCTAGCTCAAATTTTTTTATTAGTACCACTTCTAGTCAAGCTTTCAAATGACCGATCCACTAAACTACTCACATTAAAGTTACTAATGACCTTCATGTTGGTGAATATCATAGTTAACTCATTTCATTTAACCTATCAGCAGTTTTGTTTGATTGAGAAAAGCTCTTGCTGCATAGTTCAGGCTGGCCTTGAGTCCACTTTGTAGTGTAGGCTGACACTGAACTCGCAGCCATCTTCCTGCCTCAGCCTCCTGAGTGCTGTGCGATTATGGCTGTGTGCCACCACACTGGGGCATCAGCAGCATTTAAAAACCTTTTTCCCATTTGTTTTCTAGCACACCATACTCTTCTAGTCATTTTAAGTCATTCTCTGTCCTTATAAGAGATGGTTCCTCCCTTTTCTAAGAATTTAATATAGGAATTCTAAGTCATTCTTAGAACCTCTTTTCTTTTTCATCTAAATTATTTCTTTGATGATTGCAGGCAGTGTCAATGCTTTAAAAAGCATTTCCTTTATTTTTATTTTTTTAAATCCATTTTATTTCAAAGAGAAAAAAAAAAGGAACACTGAGGTCATTACATAAGGTGGCAATGTTAAGAGGAAGGTAGGTGTGCCCTCTTTGTAGCTTCTATATCATTTTGAAACAAAAGATTTACAATGAAATTCTTTGGAGTCTAACCTTTAGGCAGTGTTTTGATCCCACTGTGTTTTCCTGCTAATAACTCAGATCATCCTAAAGCAGTTACTATTATAGTAACCATTTTGCTTTGTGGATTAAAAACAAACAAAAAACCTAAACTCTTAGAAACAAGATTGTTTCAAGTCCTTTTTACTCTTCTTTGTAAGAAAGTAGTTTTCACTATGTTTCAGAGGACATACTAAGGAAACCCAATTCTACAAGTTGATTTTCAAGTAGTTTTAGCTGCTTCAGAAAGGAGGGTATCTCTGGCCTAAAACATATACGATCCTCTCTGGCTGGAAGGTAGATGGACGAGATGCTCCATAAATGCTGCTATGTGAAATCACATTTGATTGCCCATGTAGTGTTACTCAGAAAACCTCAAGTGTTAACATCGGTGGACTATGCATTAAACAGAAGTGATATTCTAACAACAGGAAGGACAGGTGAAGATTTCTTCATTATTTAAAATGAATTTGTTCGTATTTCTTTAAAAACAAAACATTTCTATGAAGAAACTGCCTTCTTGGCCTTAAACTCCAGACTCAGCATTTCTACACGAATGTTTAACACACATTGTAATGTTAACCTGTTTAGAACAGAGTTTCTAATTTTCTTGCAACCATCTCCTCAAAAGTGCCTCAACCCTAGCTTTACCCAACCTTCCAAATGGTCGGAACCAGTGAGTGTCTTCCCTCAGTGATCTCTTATCATATTTCACATTATTCATCAGCAAATCCCGTACAGTCTCTTGTCACAATAAAATGAAAATCCTTAGTGATTCTTCTTCTGGGCACATATTCAAAGGAAACGAAATCACTACTTATAAAGATACTTGATCTCCCATGTGGCTTGCAGCTTTATTCCGACAATAGCCAAAAGATGAAAACAACCAATCTAAGAGTCTATTGACAGAGAAATGAATAGAAAAATTGTGGTGCAAATATATAATGGAATAGTACTGAGCCCTAAGAAGTCACCTCACTATCTGTAACTACATAAATGAATGAAACTGGAGGGCATATGCCAAGTCCTCTCTAAAAAACCCTATGAAAGGACTTAGGACAGAACCTCTGTGTAGGAAGAACTGTGGAGGGGGACAAGGTAACAAGGAAGTTCCAGGAAAAGGGTAGTGGAGGCTGGACCATAAAGAAGAATAAACAAGAATTTACTAAAAACAAATATAACAAAAATAGCTGCTGTCCACAAAAGTTAAGATTTGCTAGGTTTTTAGTTTGCAATTGCATAGCATTAATGGTGCAAACTGCTTATTTAAAATAAATTTTAAGGGCTGGGGTAGCTCAGCAGCACAGCACCTGCCTAGCAAGCACAAGGCCTTGAGTTCGATTCCCGGCACCAAAAAAAGAAAACAGAAAGGGTAAATTGTAAGTTTTACACTTGCAATACAAAATGCTAATATTTAAGAACATATACCTTATCTCTTGCAGTAAGAAATCGTGGATCATCTTGAAAAGCTTCTTTGACGAGTTTACTAAATCTATTAAATAGTGTAAGTAACTGTTCAACATATTTCTCGGAGTCCTAAAAACAAAATGTTTTACATTTAATAGAGCTTTTAACAGAAAAAAAATCACAGAAAAAATATAATTTTAATAAAAGACTATAGTTTTAAATTTGGGGAATTTTTTTCATAAAAAATAAAATTAAAAGGTTTCCAATATTATTTTATCATTTCAATCCCTAATCCTGCAATTAAAAAAATACACTGATATACATCTATCAGTACTACTGAAGGAGACTTACAGTGGTAATAGTTTCAGCAGCTGCTACCATATCTGCCAGGCCAGCACTTATGATGTGTTCCTCTAAGTCCTTCAGCATTGGCTCTATTCCATTAGGAACTTTGTCCATCAATGAAAACATTAAATGTAATTCTAAAAACAAGACACACACATGTAATTATTTTATCAATTAGAATGAATTTTCTCTCTTATTTAAATCATGAACCAATGATGCAGAAGTATTTGTGTTACTTGTATACCGTGGGTAAAATTAATTTAAAAGTTATAGTAAGTAGGACTTCCTGATCTATCTTCTAAGTTTGACAAAAATTCCTTTTTAAGGAAACCTAATTAAAAATAATCAGGCTGGGCATGGTGGTACATGTCTGTAATACCAGTACTTGGGAAGCTGAGACAGGAGGATCGTTGCAAGTTCGAGGCCAGTTTGGGTTCAAAGTAAGTTCAAGGCCAGCCTGAACCGCACATGGAAATCTTGTCTCATAAGTAAAACAAGTGATCAAAAACTGTAATACTCAACTCCACTTAATCTCCAATGAGATGGAACACAGCAAGACCCCATCTCAAAAATGAATGAATAAGCCTGTAATCCCAGCACTTGGGAGGCTGAGGCAAGAGGATTGTTCTAAGTTTAAAACCAGCTTCAGCTACAAAGTGAGCTCAAGGCTAGCCTGATCCGCATAGCAAGACTGTCCAAAAAAAAAAGAACGAATGAATAAATGAAACTATACTAGCTATAATATGAATGTATATTCACAAAGAATTTTTCAACCAAGCATGTAATCCCAGATCTGCACGGGGGTTAGGCAAGATTTTCAATTTGAGCTAAGGATCCACAACTAACTACTTGATAAAATCCTATTTCAAAATAAAAAAACAAAAAAGGGCTGTGGGTTAGCTCAGTGTTAAGATCCTGGGTTCAATCCCCAGTTTTGAGGCCAGCCAGATACACACAGATATACAAAGGCTGTATCTCAAAAAAATAAATAAAACCTCAAAAATTTCACTTATATCAATAAGCACTACAGAATTACTCTAACAAATATACATATGTAAAAGAAGGGCCTAACAGCAATTTAGGCCCTTCAAAGATACTTTTGAAAGAAGTATTTATATGATGTTTTACCTACTTTCAGTTTCATTTCGCTTGATCATGCCTTGGCACTCCGCTAAGATAGTCTCTTTAAATGACGTCACCAAGGCATTCACACAGCATTCCATGAGCTGAAATACACAAAAAACTGGTCAAGGCTACTTTAAACTTTTAGCGCTCTTAGATTTATCCTAACAGACTAAAATTAAAATTTTCCACACAAAAGTTATGTGTACTGGGCCGGGGATTTAGTTCAGCGATGTAAATGCCTACTGGTGAGCGTGAGGTCCTGAGTTTGATCCCTGGTACCAAAAAATTATGTGTACCTACCTTGATTACAGGATGAATGTATACTTAATACAAGTTTACCAAAATATATATATCACTCTAAGGGAAATGCTAGAGAATTGAGGCTTTCTTTAGAAATTAAGTCTCCAAAGAAGAAAACAAAAATACTAAAACCAAATTAAAATAAGATACAGGCACTGTTTTGAAAGAGATTGCTACTTAACTGAGGGTAAACAGTGGGGGGGGGACCCCCAAACTGTTGCTCTACAAAGTATCTACTCCTGTATGTTTCAGACTATTTGCTGCGAAATTAGTTTTAACAGTTTTCTTTTAATGATACAGAACAGAACGAAAAATAGAATGTAATCCTAGCACTCAGAAGGTTGAGGAGGAGAATCACTGCAGAGTTCAAGGCCAGCCTGAGCAACATAGTGAGTTCAAGGCTAGCCTGAACTACATAGGGAGAACTTGTCTCAAATAAAAAAAGAATCAGATGTATACAAATAAAACTACTATAAAAAAGCGTTTCTTACAGTAATTTACAATAAGGATTAAAAGGTTAGGCTAAATTGACAAAACTGAAGAATACTCCAAAAAACTTGGTAACTGTCAATGAATGGTATTAGGTAAATAACTGTGGAAGCAGTTTCAAGCTTAGGAGGCTAAGCAGATAATTACAATAACAAGTAGCTTTCAATGAGCATTTGTACCACACATTATGATAAATACTTTATATATATTCTCATTTGACCAGCATGACTACCTTACAAGATACAGGCTGGGAGTGGCTAAATAACCTGCAAACATCTCTTAATTGGTTCCTAGAGACCCAAGCACTAATTTGAGGCCACATATATGACTCTACAACTTCCAACTTTTATTACTACATCTATAGGGCATGTGTATATCTAGCAATGACTATATTCTCAGAAATGAATCAGTGTTTTATGGAACAGAGAATTATAAAATATGGTTCAAACCCTATATGATCCTACAGTCCACTTGGGAACATGTAAATTATACACCTAACGATCTGCTTCATCTGTACAGAGGTATATGAAGAGAGGATCAATTTACTAATAAGCAAAGAAGTAGAAAAGAATTTTCTTTTTCAATACTACACTGAAACTTCACAAGGATAAACACCGCTCTGTCCACAGCTGCATTATCATGATCTCACCGATATTTGATGCTTTATAAATAACACAAAGAAGCAGTCTAGGGGCTGGGGACTTAGCTCAGCGACATAAGCACCTGCCTTGCAAGCAGGCGGTCGTGAGTTCGATCCCTGGTACCGGCAACAAAAAAAAAAAAAAAAAAAAAAGAATGTTTAAAAAAAAAAAGAAGCAGTCTAAAATTCCTACTAACTCTAGTATGAAAATTATAGATATTGTGAAGATTCAAGCAAGGGGGAACTGATGAATGCCAGAGACTCTGGGCTACTCTATTAGGAGGGGGGGTTTTAAGGATACCTGTAATAATTTGGATAGATAAGCAGAAAGCAGAAAACATTATTAACATGAATCCAAGAAAAAATAAATACAGGGCCAGGCATGGTGGCACATGACTGTAATCCCAGTACTTGGGAGGCTAGGGCAGGAGGATCACTGCAAGTTAAGGGTAGCAAGAACCTGACTCCAAAAAACTGAATACAATAAACTGTATCAAGGAAGAAACACTCCTTATTGGAGTCAAATGTTTTTTGACCTAGCCAGGCATGGTGGTGCACACCTATGTGTCATTCCAGCACATGGGAGGCTGAGGCAAGAGAACAGCCACAAATTTGAGACCTGGGCTACATAGTGAGTTCACTGAAAACCTGAACTACACAGTCAGATCCTGTGTCAAAAAAACAAAAAAGCCTCTTGCTGGGCAGTACTCAATTAGAAAAAGATTAAGGCTAAATTCTGACGAATTTAAAAATCAGGAATATAAAATAATGATACTTTGTGCTCCTTCTGTCTCTGAGTAATAAGGATCAGATGCAGGGATTCATGTGTGCTAGACAAACGCTCTACCACTGAACTACTTTAACAGAGTCTACACTAAGATGCCCAGGCTCTATGAACTGATGATCCTCCTGCCTCAGCCTCCCAAACAGTTGGGATTAACAGGTACGTACCACCATATCTAGTTAATGCTGGGTTTTTTTCCTTTTTTTTTTTGTACCAGGGATTAAACTCATGATCTCATGCTAGGGCATATTAATTATACAAAATAATGTTTTGTTTTGTTTTTTTTGTCTTTTTCATTTTTATCGGTACCAGGGATCGAACTCACGACCGCCTGCTTGTAAGGCAGGTGCTTATACCACTGAGCTAAATCCTCAGCCCCCACTGTTTCATTTTCATATAAGTATACAATGTACTCTGGTTTTTAAAGAAGTATGCAATTAAAAAGTTTATGTAAAATTAGCTTACAAGCAACACAATTACAAATGGTCAGTAAGAATATATATATCCTCATTAATGACTTTTATTTACTTTGAAATTGTTTTTAATTAATTAATTTTGTGGTATTAGAGACTAAACCAGGGCCTTCCTACCGAGCTGAGCTGATCCCCAGTCCACTTTTTTTGGGAGACAGACCTTGCTAAATTTCTCAGTTATCCAGGCGGGGCTAGAAACTCCCTCTGTTGTTCTCCCAGAGTACTGGAATTACAGAAGTAATTTTGAAATGTACCTAAAATCTTTAAAAACCTGTGATATTAGAGATGTCAGCAAAACTGACAAAATTCAGATCAGCAGATATGGCTAAAGGTACAATGTTGATAAGGAGTAAGAATTACAGCATTTCTGGAAGTTGCTTTGCTATTATGTAGCTACTTGTAAATCGGTTATACTTGTTGCTTCAGTAATCTCATTTCCATGAGATTCCATTCCAAGAAAATCCAAGTGTGAATAAAGATGTATGCATAAGGATATTAAACAGTCAATAAAGATTCCCCCAGGAGCATTATAAAAAAATAAACTACAGCCAGATGCGATGGTGCACTCCTATAATCTCAACACTTGGGAGGCTGAGGCAGGTGGACTGTTGCAAATTCGAGACCAGCCTGGGCTACAAAGTGAGCCCAAGGCCAGCCTGAATCACACAGTGAGATCCCGTCTCAAAAACACAAAAATAAATAAATAAATAAATACTACAAACAATGGCAAACCGCCATCTGAAGTCTAGTTAGAGCTAGGCACAGTAGCACACAATTTAAATCCCAGCACTCAGGAAGCTGAGACAGGAGTTTGAGGCCAGCCTAAACTACACAGTGAGTTCAACGTTAACCTAACCTGCAAAGCAAGACATCATTTCAAAAAAAGGGAAAAACTCATTAGATATATTACAGTATATATATGTTATAAAATTGGACTAAGAGCATGCATTATCCATAAATTTCTCTTAAAATCTAGAACACAGCAAAGGAAGAAGGGAAGCAACTAGGGAAGGAAGGAAAAAGCAACGAGAGAGGATAACAATGACAAAATGACAATTATTGAATGTAGACATTGGGGATGGTGGGTGATGTTCATGATACTATTTTCTGTAGTGTATGAAGACTGAAAATGGTTCACAATAAAGTTTAAAAAATAAGGATAATTGTAGTGAGAATCCCTATACACTGAAAAAACCTTCAGAAAACTATCCTATCTAAGCAAAAAGAAAATAGGGACAATGCTAGATACAGCTCTCTCCTTATTTCAAATGACTCTTATCCAAATAAGAGGGGGTCAATTCCTTTTAAGATTGAGATTGTGTTAATCCTCTTCTGTATTTCACTCCCAGCATTTATAAAAATTCTACATACATAGTCAATCCTAAATATACCTGTTATTGAAAAATACATCTTTGAATGGAAATGACAGTGATAAACTATCTCTCTCACCTTGTATCCCCCTTCTGTCTCCTTTTGCTAGATTCCGTGAAGAAAAAAACTTTTTGCCATACATATGCCATCAACTCCTGCATTTGTTTGCCTGAGATGAGCACAACTTCTAAATCCATAGCAATCTTTCCCCAAAGGTCTGCAAGGTGAAACACTTTATCAATGTGCTTGATGTTTCTACCCTCTGCTACAGTAAGACTATAAACCCATCAAAAATAAAGCCTGCCTCATAAAACACTGCAGGCATTTAACAGTACTTATTGAATAAATGAATTCACAGGTCTGTGAAAATGAAAGGTAAGACAGGCTGAGTGGTGTAACAGATTTTTCTTTTAATGGTACTGTATGTGTATAATTAATTTTACTTCAGTGAAATTTAATAAAAAGTAACAACAGTTTTGATTTTCACTATTTATACAAGTGTGTAAGTATAATGTGCTTTGCCTCAAATATATAGCTGAGCTAAAAATTATGTTAGGTTTCTCTATTTCAAGATTGTAACATCATTAGTCCTTCACTATACAAGCGTATCTGTAATATATTCAAGAGTTAATTTAGTCTACATGTGGCAGGCTATTCACAAAATTTAAAATAATATTTTTTGGGGTTTTTCCATATAACTGGTGGTACTTGGTTCATTTCTAAATTATATATATATATATATATATATAGATAGATAGATAGATAGATAGATATATTTTTTTTTTTTTTGTACTGGGGATCAAACTCACAGCTCACACTTGCTAGGCAGGCACTTATGCCACTGAGCTAAATGCCTGGCCCCAGTATATAGGTAAACCTTTATACAGAGCAACAAAATCTGACTTTTAACTTTTTGGGTACTGCCTTTATCACACCAAAATACTGAAGATTAACAAATATTTTAATTATGTGTTTATATACTGTGACCTGGCTGCTTACCAGGTCAGTTCTGCATAGACATTAAATCTTTTTTAAAGTCAGTTC